TTAGGTACTACCCCTTTAGTTGCCAGATCATAAAATGGCTGGGAGGGCTGTAGTGGTATGGCTCAGGCATCAGAAAGGCACTCAGGGTGGTTTGGAGCAGCACCTCAAACCTAGGTGCTTCAGCACTTGGATAAGCAGTATAGCTCTTGTGTTGCTCACAGCTAATTATCTCTAAATACTAAGAAGGCCAAGAAGTGTTCCTCGGGGAGAGCATGATCTTATAAGAGGAATAATTACAGATAACCATGAGAGTAGGCCATCTGGCTACAAGTGATGAGAAAATTTGAAATCATAGGTGGTTCCCAGCTACCCTGGGGATCCTTAGGTTTTGGTAAAAGAACAACTCAGTTTCTCTTCCAAGTCCTCTCATTAATAGTAAGGCCAACCTCATTTTCTTGGGAACTTGGTGCTTCCCTGCATTGCAGAAAATGGTGACCATGTAAGTTCTCAGCTTTAACACAGAAGTTTTGGGTATTTATTTGCCCAATGACTCTTCCCATCTTCTCTCACTGTGTGGATGACAGTGCTCTTTGGCTATAGCCACTGCTAGAGAGCCCTCCCAACCCAAAAGAGGACCCAGAGATCCTAAACAGAAGGCTTCCCAGAGTAAGAATCCTACAGGCCCAAACTGGGAGTTTTTGTCCATTCATTCATTTATTTTCTCCTTTCTGTTTGTACGTTTACTATGTGCCAGGTTCCAGGCTCGGGTCTGAGGATGTGGAATTCGCTAAAGAGATCCAGATCTGTGGGGAGACAGGGATGCAGACAGTTATGGTGTATAAGATAGTTCCTCCTAAAAGCCATGTGATGCAAGCTTTGGCAATGTGTATAATGGTTCTGTGTGGACCCTGTTACGTGGGGCCAGGGCTACCCTTTGCTCCTAAACTAAGAACTAGCTTCACTGCCTTCCTTCTCCTTGCTCCTCACATCCACTCAGTACCAGATTCTCTGTTAGTTTTATCATATTCTCTTCAAGTCCAGCCTATGTCAGAGACAGCCTGAAGGTCAGTGTGGGACCGCCTAGCTCTTCCTTTCCTGTTTATAGGGCCATGGAGGCCAGGAGCTACACACCCAATGCTGAGTCTGTGGAGCTGGGCAGCACAGCTCCCCTGCCCTCCATACTGCTACTAAACTCATCCACTTCACAACAAACTGTCTAGAGATCTCCAAATGTCCTGTTTTGTATACAATGAGGAAAAACCCAACCTGGGTTGGCTGTCAAGGATCTGTCACCAACTAGCTGCATCTTTCTTTCCAGTCTTATTTTCCATACCTCCCTTTCTCTTCCTTTGCCTTATGCTTTAGTCAAACTAGGTAAATACTTCTTACACTGCAGCCCAGAATATCCTGCTGCCTTCTCTATTCCTATAAATCAATTCTTACCTAGTCCTGTAGAAACAACTTATAAACCCTCATTCCAGGAGCCCTTCCCTGGTTGCTGAACTTTAACATGGTCTCTTCCTTCCTATATGCATCTCTTAGGACTGAAGTCCTGTCCCACTGGTATATTGGCCATTTGCATGCATCTCTTTTCTCCTACAAGGTTGTCAGGTCCCTGCTTATTCTTTGGGCCTTCTGTTTGGCAAATGGTAGCAGGCCAAACTCACAGTGAATGCTTAATATTTATTGGATGAATGAATGAATAGTAATATTGGTAACACACTGCTTGCTGTATGTATTTCTCTAGATTTCTCTCCCGTCTCCCAAAGGGGCCTCACTCACCTTTTAATCTCACCACCTTTCCAGACACATTTCTTGCTCCTTCCTTTCTGTGGTCCTCTCCCTGCAACATTCCACAGGGGAGAGCAGGAGCCTGGCCTGACCCTTGATGCCTCTTCTCTCCCCTCTCTATGCAGGCTCGGAGGAGGAGCTCGAGGAGCTGTGTGAACAGACTGTGTGAGATGGTCAGGCCTACCTCTGATAAGAGTGTGCTCCGGATGACTCGGGGTCCTACCAGGCACAGAGTCCTGCACCTAGGAAAACAAAGGATGTCAGCAAACACCTTGCTTTTTGCTGTTCTTCCTGGAACCACTGGAAGAGGAGTGGCGATGGTGGGTGGCAGGAGGTGCTGTGTCCCATCTTGGCTCCAGACCTTGTCTGCAGAACACACACCTGCAGCAAGTCTGTGTCTCGCCTGACATGAGCTTCTGCCTGTGTGCATCTATGAGCTGCATCCCTGAAGGCTCAGTGTTTGAGAGCAGGAAGCTAGATGTGGGTAGCTAAGGGTTACAAAAGTGCTGCTCCTTCCCGCTGCCCTACCAGGTCTCCCTTGCCCAGACCTCAGGATCATACTAGCCAGCCGGTTCAGCTCAATGCAGGATCTCTTTTTACCTCCTTCCTCCAGTGAGCTCTGCATACCAGCTCTGGCTCCTCCCTGCGAAGGGTGCATCAGGGGCAACCCTGGCTTGACATTGCCATTTTCCTTCTTTGCAAAGGGACCAAGGGAGTAGGTGAGCCTGACCCCTAGTAAGGCAGGTCTCTGCAGGCAGTGCTTGCCCTGGTACACAAGGAAGGTGTCTCCCACTTCTTGTCCTTTAATTGCTCTTAAATTGTCAGATCCGGGCTGGGGATTTAGCTGAGGGGTTCTGCCGTCTGCCTTGCAAGTGCAAGCCCGAGGTCCTGAATTCTATCACCGGTACCACCCACCTCCAAAAAAAAAATTGTCAGATCCACACAGTTAAGCCAGAGTTGGACAGGAGGCTGCGAAGGCAGGGCATAGAGTTTTGTCCCTGAGGCAGCACCTTGATGAAGCTGGGATGATGCCTTTGATCTTCCTTCTCCCTCATCACTCCTGTAGTCCCAGCTCCTCTGGAGGTGGGAAGTAAAGGGAGTGGGGAGGGAATAACTGTGCCCGAGTCCAAAGTGGGCAAAAAAGAGACTCTTCTGGACTTTCTTCTGGGAAGAGAGAAGATGGAATGAAAGTGGAAAAGGCAAAATGACAGCTGAGCAAGGACAACAAAGTTCTTCTCTGAGAGAAGTTTTGTCTCAGAGCAGAGATGGGGAACGGGGGAGAACAAAGGAAAGACTAAGTGTGACTCTGGGTTTTGCCCAGCTCCCCAGAATAAGCCATTCAGGCAGGCCAGGGGCCCACTGGAGGTGTGTGCCCAGAATGGAACGGGAGCAGAAGCTGGGCTGGGCAGCTTGTAAGGAGTGGGCAAGGACTTAGGGTCTGCCTTAGGGTGACATTCACCTGGGGGCATCCTGATCATTGATAGCTCTTCAGGCGTTATCATTTGCCTGGAATGTGAATGTGGGGGCAAAGTGGGCGTAAGATCCTACTCGGGAACCTTCTTCCCTCACATCGGTGGGGAGACTAGCACCCAAGCACCCACATGGATATTTATATCTGAACCAGACAGAAAGAGGCTTGAATCAGGCACTATGTTGAAAAATGTATTTATTTGCTAATATATTTATCCATAAATGCGGTCTGGTCTGTGGTTTTGTTTTGTCATGACTGTCACTCAGGGTAACAACTTCTTTCTCTATTGAGAGAAATAAATTATTTCTGACATCATAGGCTAGTTCCTGATTTACAAAACAATAGGGTAGAGTGATGGGCTTGGCAATGAGAACTGTTTTAAGCCTGTAAAAGCATGACTTCAGGAGACCAGGAAAAGAAAGAGCACACTTGGATTATCACTGTGGTTCAGTCGTAATTATCTGTGTTATTACACTTTAAATTAGGAGTCTTCAGTGACTTACTTTGTAACCTGGCACAGGTGTCCTGCACCTCGCTTTTCCCATCCATAAAATGGGCCTAGTATGTGCAGGGCTTATTTATGTAAGACAGCAAAGACTGAAAATGTATTCCAAAATGGAAAGTTATTACAGCAAAAAAACATCCAAACCTGTCACTAACCCCATCTGGACACAACATGGCACAGGCTACAAGCTGGCCTGCCTTGAAGAAGCTCAGGTCCAATCAGAGGGCTGGCAGGAGGGACAGAGGAGCAGAGACAAATTATTTATATCCCGAAGCACCAATTCAGATTTACAGATAGCACTCTGCCTACACACCAAGAGAGCTGGTGCTCTGTTGGTAGGAATTTCCTGGGGTAGCAGGGCATGGTAGCATATGCCAGTAATTCCAGCTGCTTCCAGCTGAGCTCAGGCAGGAGGAAATCAAGTTCAAGGCTACCCCGAGTAGCTCAGTGGTAGAGCACTTGCCAGGCATGCTCAAGGCCTTGGGTTCAATCCCAACACTGAAAAAAAATGTCCTGCAGTGTCTCTTCCTCACACTGCAGAATTTCTCCTTCTGCTTCAACCCCAGAAGGACTGGCAGGGATGCTGGTTCTCTGTGCCTAGTTTAGAAAGAGAACAAGGGATCTAGCTTGCCAGGGTGCAAAGGGAGGGTAACCTACAGGTGTCTTTAAGAAAAAAAAAAAAAAAAAAAAAGGCCGTGTCTAAATGCTAAAAGAGGCACAAAGTTATACAGAATGCGCAAAAGTAAAGTGCTTTTACGTATTGAATAGCATTTTTGTGCGGCCGGCCAGCTTGCAGGCCAGCATTCTTGCGCACTGCAAAGGGAGGGCTTTTAGTGCTCTCACAGTTATGAAGGAGGAACTGGCAGTCTCCAGATTGTCTTCGGGCTGCGCAAAGATAATCTAGAAGGAGACATAGACTCACTACCATAGCGCTTTTAAAACAGGACGGAAATCTAGGCTCTCACCAGGGCTCCTTCCAAGGGCACCGCGGCCTAGTGCCAGCGGCCAACATCAAACGGAATGAAGCTCCCGCCCAGGTTCTGGTTCGGAGTGCTCCTGCGCAGGCGCCCTCAGCCGCTTCGCCCCGCCCCGACCAGGCCAGCCGACAGCTCGCTCTCGCGCTGGTCCAGGTGGCAGGGCGCGCGCCGACCAGGTGGCTGCTGGCTGCCCCACCTCCGCTCCTAGGCGGGAGAAACCATCTTCTCCGGAGGGGAGGGGGTTGCGGGGCGGGCGCCCTGCTACACCGGAAGAGGAAGTCTAAGGCCCCGGAAGTGACTGGCATTCTGGGTAATAAACTGTTTACTTCCTGTTGGTGTGGAGCCTGTGGCTGAGTTCCCTGGTGCTCTTCCTATCCAAGAAGATGGCCCTGGAGACGGTGCCAAAGGACTTGCGGCATCTGCGGGCGTGTTTGCTATGTTCTCTGGTCAAGGTGGCTGTTGGGGACCTGGTTGTACGGGTGATGGCGAGGCACAGAGTTGAGGAAAGAAGGTGGAATGGGGTAGGACAGAGGAAAGAAAAGTTCAGGACTCCGGGAGGTGGCGAGGCGGGTTGTTTACTCGCGGAAACGCGAGCAGTTGAGGGCCCGGGCGGCCTTACATGCCTTTGAATCCCCAGCTTTTAACACAAAAGTTCCCCAGCGGAACTTATGTCGGATCTAAAAGACACTGAGAGCCATAGCGGAGTGGAGATCTGTAACTGAGAGTATTAGGAGAGAGAGCCAGATCCGAGAAAAATAGAGAAAAGAAAGATCAGACAGAATTGGGAACAAAAGAGCGAGCAGTGGAAGGGTGGAACTTAGGAATAGAGCCGTGGGAGCATCAGGTGGGTGACATGATGAGACAGACAATAGAGAACCAAGAGGTTGACCCTTTTTCTTTTGGCCTTGGTCATGCTCACCTTTATTATTATTATTTTTTATATCTCCTCCTCAGACTATAGACCAATTTGAATATGATGGTTGTGATAATTGTGACACATACCTACAAATGAAGGGTAATCGAGAGATGGTATATGACTGCACCAGCTCTTCCTTTGATGGGTAAGCTCCTTCACATTCCTTTATTCACATGTGCTTCACTTCACCCTACACTACCTGACCTCAATGGGGAACAGGCTTTCAAGGGTATAATCCTCGTTGGTTTCAAACATCTATTTTGAGATGTAGTAGTCCTATGCATCCTGTCCTGTAGTCCCTAGCTTCATGTAGCTATCAAGCACTTGAAATGTGGTTAGTCCAAATTAGGTATCTCCTTTAACTCCAGATTTCAAAGACTTAGCATAAGTAAAAAAGTGTAAAATAATATCATTTTAAAGTTACGTTTTGGATTTATTGGGCTAAATGAAATATTGAAATTTCATTTTTCTGTCTTTAAAATGTGGCTACTAAAAAATTAAAATGATGTTTGCTTTTACTGTATTTCCATTGAGCACTGCTTCACTAGATTGCCAACTCATTGATTTTAGCCCTGGGGTGTTTATCTTGTGCACCACTAGCTGGCATAATACCTAGAAGTGTAGATGCTTAGTAAACTATGAGGGATTGAGGGTGTAGTTCAGTGGTAGAGTGTGTGTTTAGCATACATGAGGCCCAGAATACAATCCCCTGTATCTCCCACTAAATGTTGAATACATGAAGGTGCTTTTAGAAAATGAAGAGAAGGGAAGGTATGGCGTTGGTAGAATATTGCCTCAAAGCTGATGATCTTGATGGAGCCCTCCTCAAAGGAGTTTCCTTTGGCAAAATTGTCCAGTGGAGAGAAGGGGAAATGAGAGAAGAATAACTGGTCAGGTCTTACTTTTTCTCAGGGTAGCAGCCAGAGGACAGTATTGGGGAGGAGGGTTAAGGAGGTAGTACTAAATTCTTTTTGTCTCTAGGCCAAGTAAGGTTTTTTGTTGTTTTGTTTTTTTTTTTTGGTACTGGGGATCGAACTCTGGAGGTGGAACCACTGAGCTAAATCCTCAGCCCTAGGCCAAGTAAGGGTTTACACAAAACTAAGCTTAAATGTATGCTTTGCTGAAGTTTTTTCAAGGTGAGCTAACTCCATTTCTCCTTTGATTTCGTTAAGGAAGAATAAGGGCAAAGAAAAGATGTTGACATGGAACTTTTCTTCCCGCTCTGTGCATACTCAGATACTCTGGTCCCTTTGGTCCTTCATTTAACCCTATACCATTCATTGCTAACGAATGATGGGACTCCCATCTGTGAGTAAAGTGCTTGCTCGCTACTATGAGAGTTGTAAAGGGTTACATGGTGTGACGCTAGTTAGAGAACAGTGTGAGGTTTTACCAGTCTCTGAATTTGACTACCCCAGGTACCTCATGATTGAATCGTACATTTGTCCCTTTTGACTGCCTTATTTAGCACTTAGTACATCTTAAAGATTCATCCAAATCATAGCATATGTCAAATTGTCTTTCCTTTTTAAAGCTGAATAATATTTCAGTGCTTGTATATACACTACACTTTATTTAGTCATTCATCTATTGATCATTTGAGTTGATTCTACCTATGGCAATCATAAATAAATAATACTGCCATGATCATCGATGTACAAATAATCTGTTTAAATTCCTGCTTTCAGTTCTTCTGGGTATATATCCAGAAGTAAAATTGCTAGATCACATGGTAATTCATTGTTTAACTTTTTTTTGAGGAACAAAAACAAGTGAAGTGTTCCAGTTTGTTCCCATCCTCACCAACTCTCATTATTTTCTTTTTTATTTGGTTGGTTTTTATTAATAGCCTTTCTGATATACCAGTGTGGTTTTTATTTTTTTGATAGCCATCTGGATGGGTGTGAATTGGTATATTGTGGTTTTAATTTGCATTTCCCTAATGATTATTTATGTTGAGCATCTTATGCGCTTATTGTCTATTCAGACCTGTTGCTCATTTTTTAACCTGGTTGGTTTTTGTTGTTGAGTGGTAGAACTTGTATATTCTAGTGCACATTAGGTTTTAAAGAGTAGGCACATGGGGCCGGGGATTCAGCTCAGCGGTTCGGTAGCCTGCCTTGCAAGCGCAAAGACCTGAGTTCAATCCCTGGTACCAAAAAAAAAAAAAAAAAAAAGAGAAGGCAAATGAATTCAGAGAAATTGAGAGAAAGGATAGATGACCTCAGCTGGAAGTGAAGCGGGTAACATCTTTCCTCTTAAACAAGTATGTATAGGATATTTTTTGGAAGTTGAGAGAAGTAGAACATTCCAAATACAGGAGTGACTGGAGTAAAGGCATAGAGTGGGAAAAACCAAGGTATGTTTGGAGAACAGTGGGAATTGTTTAGTTTAAATCTGCTGGGTAATAGGTACTATAAAGTTAAAAGGATAGATTGTGAAGGATAGAACATAATACACTTGTGGTGGGAGCCTGGCCTTCATGCACCTATCACAAGTCAACCTGCAGGACCAGTTGGCCATTGTTATCCTACTTGTAACCGCAGAGGTGAGGTTATTTCTACTTAAAGCTCATGGATGAGGAGTCTCCCCCACTAAGAATTGAAGATTGTTGCTGAGGGAACAGGGAATGGGCATGGAGGATCCAACCAACAAATGCCAGTGCTTAGAAATAGACCAGATGCAATAGGCAGTCAGGAAGCGTTTTATCACATGCATAAATAATAAAATGTCTCTGTAGCTTCTGATAGCACCTGATGCTGATCCACCTTGGGGATAGCCCTAGGATAGATAATAAGGAGAGCTAAGAAAGCCTATTTAGAACCTACTGTGTTCTACATAGATGCTTTCATGTATTATTTTAATCATTGAGTCTCATTTTACTGATAAAATTGTGTTGAGAGGAATCCATATGTAGTGGTGGTTGTACAACTCGTTACAGGAAGGGCCTGGCCAAGTCTAAGTCATTTCTGCAGAAGGATCCATCGTTTTGACTCATCATCATCTTTGCACTAGGCCCAGTCCCCCAAGGATTTTGGTGGTCGTAATCAGAAGTACAGGGCATCCACTGCTAAAGCTGTCTCATCTCTTAAGGAACCCACAGGCTAAGGATGTTTTGGTGAGGTAATCTTTTAGGATGGTAACTGATTTCTTACTGGAAAGCCAGGGATATAAGAACAAAAGACCTTTGCCAGTCTTAGCTTTGAGTCAACTCTTTCTTAACAGTAGAACTGCAGCTTACTGACTTTCTGGGGAGACTTGACACCTCACTAACCAGGATTCCTCTCCCAGAACTTGTGCTGACTGAGCAGCTCTCAGCCTGTGCTGATCTCTGGTTTTTTTTTCCCTCCCCAGAATCATTGCCATGATGAGTCCAGAGGACAGCTGGGTCTCCAAGTGGCAGCGAGTCAGTAAGTGTCTCCCTTTCTTCCTGTCCAGGCCTGTACAGTGTTGGCATGGTATTACTGTGCTTCCAGGTCAGTGGGGTTTTTAAGTCAGTAGGATGGGAACGAGAGGGCTGCAGGAAAGACAGGGAAGCTGGCTCCTGTGCCCTGTTTCCAAAAGAAGTGATGGCCTTTAGTCTTAACTCATTCCCCCTACAATGTCCTTTCTTCTTTCTCAGGTAACTTTAAGCCGGGTGTATATGCAGTGTCAGTCACTGGTCGCCTGCCCCAAGGTAATAACAGTCTTGTTAACAGCCAGTGTTTAACTGTCCCAAGCTCAGATGAGCAAACTGAAGTACAGAAAAGTTGTATAACTTGCATGATGTCACCAGGCATTTTGGCTCCAGAACCTTTGCTTTTGATGATTGCATAAGTCCCTATTTTCTGCCTTTCTGGCTTGCCAAGCACTTGCTTGGATCTTCAGTGGTAACAAGATGTCAGGCAGGACTCTTGATGAGCAGCCTAAGGGCTGCAGTTCGCTTATAGACTCTCTTCATAGTGGCAGATAAAGGCTTTTCTTATCCTTTTGAATCTTCCCTCATGGAGCTGTTTCTTTTCATGCCACAGGAATCGTGCGGGAACTGAAAAGTCGAGGAGTGGCCTACAAATCCAGAGACACAGCTATAAAGACCTAGCAAGATGCAGGGCTGCCAGCATCTTTTCTCTCCACCTCCTGCCTCTACTTATTTTTGGGTTTTTGGACTGGACAGGCAGGCTTCAAAGACTCACTGCCCTCCATCTTGGAGAATCAGTAGACTGTTGAGAAAGCAGTTTCCTGTCCCTGGGGCATTTCACTTCGTTGGACGACTTACTGGTGGAGGTGGGAGGGTTTGGGCTGGTGGATTCACAGAGACTGAATTGAGAGTAGGATGTTGGTTTTCCTACGCATACCCTCGGACAAGACTCTGGGTTAAATATCAATAAATGCGAACTCCTGAGAATTTCTTAAAGCCTTGACATGTAACATGGCTCCATTTCCCTCAGTGGGGCATAGTGAGGTCTCCTTTGTTCTGTGAGCACTGTGCCAGTGCAGCAAAGACCCTTTGCTCCTGTTGCTGGGCCTCCAGGGCCACAGCCTTCTAAATGTGTTTGCTTGGGACTCTTTGAAAGGCCCACTTTTCCTGGGTGAGGTGACCCCTCAGTGTGATAATCTTGGTGTCCAGTAGTCATGTTTTTCTGCCTTCTAGAACAGTCTTGCTTACAGAAATCAAAATCTGGGCTGGGGACTTGGCTCAGTAGTGCCTGCACCTGCCTTGGAGACTCAAATCCTGGTACAAAAAAAGAGCAAGAAATAAAAATCTGTAGGCTTTTTTTGTGTTCATTGCCCCCCCCCTTTTTTTTTAAATTTTGAGACAGAGTCTTGCTGTATAGTTCAGACTGGCCTTGAGCTCACTATGTAACCCAGGCTGGTCCTGAACTCACTGCAATCCTTCAATCTCCTGAGTGCTGGAGTTACAGGCGTGCGCCACCATACCTTAACCAGCTTTGTTTTTGTTTTCTTTTTACTGCCCTTTCTACACCGTTTTACTGCTTTTCCTACATTGTACATTCCCTTAACTGCAGACCTGCAGGCCTTAGGTGACGGTTGAGTCTTGGTCTGGGTGGTTTGTGTTTCCATAGGAAGTGGGCCCATCCTCCTTGGCGTAGTAAGGGGCCTTGAATAATGAATGTCACATTGGCCAAGGTGCGTTGTTTCAAATCTACCATATGGTCTCATTAACTTAGATTTTCACAGAAATCCTAGTAGTATCACTATTTTGATTTTTCTAGTTGTGAAGTGGGAGTGATTACACCTTACCTCCTGTTGGCTTCAGGGTTCTTGTGATTAGAAATAAAGCAGTATGAAAATTCTGTAAGTCTTATAAAAGGTAAAGTTCATGTGTGCCATTTATTATCACTCTTACTTCCATACACACAAAATAGATGCCATCGGTCAGACTGGGGGGTACCCGGGACCCCACCCCCAGGGTGAGTGCTGGCTCAGCGGAGGTGCTGCTTCTAGCATTGTGCCTGGCAGCCACCTGGTGCTGCTAGTGAGTCATCTCAGGTTACCTGTGCTGGCCTGTGGGAGGGAAGAGATGTGGGCTCCCCTGTCCTTTCCCAGGGACTGGCTATTGCTCATGCTCTCTCCCTGGTCTTGCTCAGGCTAGAACCACCTCACTGGTGCTTCCAGGCTGTTAGGGAATGGCCTGGTAATGCCAGTTCCAAACATCTTGCAGGGGCTTCCCCGGCCCCCAAAACTGAAAGCACCATGATGGTGCTTTCTCTTGTATTTCAGTCTGAAAGGAGCCTTGCTCAGCCCTGTCAGGCTAAAGCTTCCATCCTGGAGGGAAGAAATAGCTTTCAGCCTTTCAGCGAGAGTGCCTAGCCATGTAGCCAATGCCCAGACTTTCACTGGCTTTCTCAAAAAGCCCCCTGGAAAACCCCAGCTGCTGTCCTGTGTGTCTGACCCGGACGTAGCTGCCTGGTGAGAATGGAAACAGTTGTGGGGAGGGGAGGTAAGTAGAAGCCTGCACAAATAACCACATAGGGCTGCCTCAGTCCCACACTGAGCAGGGCCCTAACTGTCGATCTCACAGGAAGTGAGACAGTCGCTGATGGTCATGGGGGAGGGGTTTGGTGCAGCTCTGCCTGGGACCCACTTCTGAATATGTGTGTGTGTTTTTGGATGTTGAACCAGGGAGTTACATCCTCAGTGCTAAAACTTTGTTTTTTGAGACAGGGTCTAGCTACACAGTTAAGGCTAACCTTGAACTTGTGATCCTCCTGTCTCAGCTTCATGAATGCTAGGTTTACATACATGTGCCACCACACCTGGGTTGCTCAGTTTCTTTTTTTGGTATTGGGGATTGAACCTGGTACATTTGCACTGAGCTACATCCCAGCATTTTTTTGTTCTTTTGTTTTTGGTACCGGGGATCGAACTCCGGTCCTGGTGCTTTCGAGTCAGGCAGTGGAACCACTGAGCTAAATCCCCAGCAGTAATTTAGTTTTTGGAGACAAGGTCTCACTGAGTTGCTCAGACTGGGCTCAAACTTGTAATCCTCCTGCCCCATGGTACTCAGTAGCTAGAATTACAAGCGTGTGCCACTGTCTTGGCTCTGAATTGCTTTTCTGCCTCCTCTAGAACTTAAACCTGTTATACTGGCACTTAGCACCTCAGACAGTAAGGTGCTGGAATCCCAGAGGAGCCCAAAGACGGGGACTTGGTTCCAATGCTCTTTGAGGGTGAGTGGGGTCTCAAGGGCTGGTTCTGCTCCCCTGAGACCCACATCCATGAGGGCTCTATCCTGCCCGTTGTGTCTCAGTTTCAGCCCTGTTCCAACTGCCAAGGTTCTGAGTCTGCCCAGAGTCTCAAAAGTCCCTCTTGGTCTCTTGCTCAGTAGTTTGACTCTCTACTTTAGAAGGTCAGGGCTGCCCAGTTCAGTAGGACAGACTCAGGTCAGATAAGAGACCAAAAGCAGTAGTAGCCAGGTGACCTTCTCCTTGCCTGCCTATTCCTTTTTCTACTATAACTGCCAAATGCTGCAGAGTTAGGGTCTCCCAAAAATTGAGAGGCGATGTGGCAGTGCATTGATGACTATAGCTTCTAGCCCAAGCAGAAACTGAGAGGTGATAGAGTAAGGGCCTTAGAAGAGAGCAGTTTTCCCAAGAAAAATGCTGAGACTGGCAAGGCCTAAGCTTAGACTGGGCTGATGAGGTTTGGGGACTGAGGCCTGGCTCTTACTGTGGCCACTACCTTACCACTCTCAGCCTGTCTATCCTGTTACTCAATCCTCAGGCCCCCTCCCTGATGTCCCTGTGTGTGTGTGTGAGAGACCAGGAAAAAGGGCAGACTGATATCTTACCTTGCCTGCAAGTATGGCTTGTGTTTAGTATCAGTAAACCCTTTCATTTAAATAGCATTTTGAAATTGACAAGGGGCATTCACATTATCATTTGATCCTCACAGAACCCCTGAGACGTGGTTGACATCCTTATTTAGCAGTGAGGAGACAAGCTTCAAGTGGCCCAGCTGTGATGTAGTTGAGTCTTAGCTTGAAAGATGCAATGCCCACACCCAGTTTGGGGCTGTTGTTTCCCACAGACCTGACCCAACACACAGCAGCTTTTCTCCCTTTGTGAGTGTTCCACAGAACCAGTGTACGTCATCAGTTCAGTGAAGTTACAACACGTTGTCCCTACACATAGACACCATGCCAACACCACCCTACTCTTTTTTTGTTGTATTTTTGAGACGGGGTCTTATGTAGTGAGACTGACCTGGAACTCACTGTGTAGCCCAGGCTGGTCCTGAACTCATAGTGATCCTCCTGCCTCAGCCTCCCGAGTACTGGGATTACAGGCATGCGCCACCACGCCCGGGCAACCACCCTACTCTTAACACCTCTTGTCTCCCATCTAAATTTAGCTAGAGTGAAGCACTGGGGGTAATGGTCCAGGAAGGAATTCCAGGTGATCTACCTCAAGGATCCCTGCCTGTCCAGAGAAAAAGGAAAGAGGTCCAGCCCTGTTTCCCTGGCTGCTGCTTCTATTCCACTCCAACCGCTCTTAGGCATCAGCTCACCTGTGCCCCACATTTCTCGGCCTTTCTTCTTTTCCTCCTGCCCATCTTCCTCTGCCTGCAGCCTGGCTGTGCCACCATCACACCCACTGGAACCCAGACTTGTGTGATAAAAACACATGTATCCGGCTGAGGTCAGTGCTCCTGCCTCCCAGCTCTGCTGCTTTCGCTAGTCCTGTGCCTTTTCAAAGTCACCTTCTCTAAACAAAGTTTCTCCTCTGTGAAATGCAGTTGACAAAAGTATAAGCGTAGTGTTAAGTGGCAAGATAGTGGTTACTGTGATACAAGGTCTGATTGAAAATACAATGAATATTTAAATTTTAAAATGCATTACAATAAAAGAGACATTACCATCAATCCCCTTCAAAATAGTCTCTCTTACTTTGAGCAACACTATTCTATCATTCTTAACCACTTTCTGAAGCAGTGGTAGCAGTACTCTCTCATGAATGTCTTTATTTACACCGTTGTGGCTGCCTCAGTGTCCTGAATCTATTCAAAACATTTACCTTTCATGGTCATTTTGACTTTGAGGAACAGCCACAAGTTGCAGTGTGCCAGAAGTTGCAGATCTGTTAAATACAATGGATGAGGACACACCATATTTTTATAAGCCTGTCTTTTTCCAGCATTCACCATATTTTTTATCAAATTTTATAAAGCCGGGAGAGAAGCTTCCAGAACTGCTTCAGAAATTGGCAAGAGGGATGAGCTAAGTGTGTTTGAAGCAAGGAGGAGCTTTTTGAGGGAGGTTAATGGCAATATGTCTTTTACTGTAATCATTTGTTTTCATTTAAAATTCATATTTTGATTACCTCTTGTAGGTATGGTTAGATGAGGGGATGAGGGACACTCAAGGTTCTGGCTACATTGTTTCTTTTTCTTTTGGTACCGGGGATCAAACTTGGGTCCTTGCTCTTTTGAGGTAGGCAGCGGAACCACTGAGCTAAATCTCTGGCCCTACATTCTGTTTCTTGATCTGGATACTAGTTATGTGGGTCAGTTTACTTCCTGAAAATTTGGTGTTATATTCACTCTTCTGTTGGTAGGTAATACTTCAAATAAGGTTTGTTTAAAGATATAGTTGGCAGTCACTGTCAAGGTAGTGGTGTGGATTAAGCACATTAATTTAGGTAAAAGCAATTTGAGAACCATGAAGTACTAAGTGTGTGTAGGATATTGTCATTATCCAAAGTCATCTACCTCTTGAATAAGTTTTAGGTAGCTGTGGCAAGCATTTTATCCCTCTTACAATAAGTGTTCCAATATATCTGTCGTACAGAAATACTGTACATCAAAACAAAAAATATTTTCCTCAGGCACCACTCTCATTTTTTTGTAAGATCACACCTAGTGCCTCATATATGTGAGGCAAGTGCTCTGTCACTGAGGTATGTTACTAGCCCAATTTAAAATATGTATTAGATACTTCTTTGCTCTTTGGTTAGGAGATTCTGAATATTTGAATTACCTCAAAGTCATTGTTACACCCACCTCTTTTTTAAACAGTGTCTCATTGTGTACTTCAGGCTATTGTAGACCAGGTTGGCCATTGGCTCCACCTCACAGTGATCCTCCTGCCTCAGCCAGAATGTGCCACCACATACGGCATTTTTGTATCATGTGGTAAAATGGTTCCAGAATTGATTATTGTTCTACCTCTTGGATTTATAGCCTGTCATCTATCACTTCTGTGGGTCATATGTGGCTGTCTCCCTTCTGGTCTTTCTTGAGCTAGAAGAACAACAATACTTGGTACGCAT